TGTGCAAAGTGAGGGGAAGCACTTTGAGGGCCATTAATGATGATGTGTCTTTTTTCTTTCGTTTTTTTTTGGTTTTTCTCCGGTACCAGGAATCAAACTCACAACCTTGCACTTGCCAGGCAGGCACTGTGCTGCTGAGCTAAATCCCCAGCCCCAATGATGTGTCTTTTAATGTAATGTTTTCTACAATGTTTTAAACACTCACTACAAATTTTGCTCACACTACATCTGTCTGGAGAGTCACAGAACCTAGTCATCGGTGCCATGAGATGGAGTTCCACTGAAAGTGACCAACCTCAAATTTGTGTGCCAAAGCTCTTGTTTGATCATTTAACAAACCCACACTGAGCAGTGACTATGCACTGAGCTCTGAGAGGACCCAGAGAGGGGTGATCCATGAGATCTGGTGTCTGCCTGGGGGTACTCACAGTCTGATGAAAGGTAAACTTGGAGATAAACCAGGCAGCCCTAATGAGACATAGGCACACTCAGGGTGCTGCGGTGTAACTCCAGCTGGGACTCCCAGGGAGGGCTTCCTGGAAGAGACAGTGCCTGAGCCAAGCTCCATAGACCCAGCAGCCAAGGATAGGAGAGCATGGGTATCCAGTCTAGCAGAACCATGTGCAAAGGCCTAGGGCCCATCAAGAGGCAGGAGAGTAGGAGGGCAAGATTCACCACAGCTGCAAGGGGTACAGGAAGGGGCAAGTGCAGGGCAGCTCAAGGAAGGGACATGGCCTCCAGTGCAGCCTCATGGCCTGGAATGGCACATGAAGTACTACTGACCTTGATGGAGGGAATGCACATGACAGGGCCCAGGACACAACTGCCACGGGTGCACTCTACTGTCTCTTTTTCAGAGGGGACAACAGATCAAGGAGCAGTAGGCCTGGGAGCTGTGCTTGGAGCTGGGTGGCCCCTAAGGGCTCAGGCAGTGAGGAACAACCACTTCCTGGACTAGCAGGGTAGCCAGAGCACAGAGGGAATCAAAGACTTCAAGACCCATGTGGCCTGGGGGGGAGGGAGTACAGGGGAGCAGGAGTAGGGCATGCTGGGTATGAACAAAAGGGAGACCCTCTCCCAGAGGCTGCTGAGATGCCGTGAGCACTGGCTCACTGGTAAGCACAGAGGTTTCCTTCATGGCAACGAAATACCTTTTGACATTTAACAAATGGGAAGGCTGGAGAGGACACCAGAAAAAGCCATTTCCCAGCAAATCTATGCTGAGGTTGGCGTTTCCTGTCCACAGGGAAGGTTATGCTTCTGTGGAAAAATAGGCTGAGGCTAAGGCTCAGGCCTCCCCCATCAGGAGCTTGGGGACAGGGTGGGGTCTGTATTAGTGCGTGGCTCTCATGCTGTTCCCTTCCCCTTGGGGACAGAGCCAGGCAGGCTTTGGCAACCTTCACACATAGACACAGAGCCTGTGGCCCCAGCTTTAGCGGTGTTCTGGCTGAAGTCTCCCCCAGGGTCTTCATCTCTCTAGAGTGCTCCTCCATCCTGAAAAGTGTGACCTCCACCTAGCCTTCTTCCTGCTGGTGACACCTTCGCACACCCCTTCCCAGGGCCTCTCAGAAAGGTTGTCTGTGGGGACTGCCGCATCTAGAATGAAGTCTACTCGGGGAAACTGGCGGCTGGACTTGGGGGTGTGTATTTTTCCAATGTCTCCTCTATTGACCTTTAATTACACTGTTTGCCCAGCTTCCCAAACCATTAACTTCCACCTCTCAGCAACCACACGTCAATTAATGGAGGGCCTGCTCCAAGCTCGAGCTCCTGAACACAATTAAGCGTGACAGTCCACAAATAAGAAAGAACTGGAGAATTAATTAAGGTCTAAACAAATTAATTACCAGTCCCCAATCGATTCCAATGCCAGCACACATGCTCCGGGCTCACTGTCCTTCCTAACATCTCCACGTATAAATAGAAAATGAGATTTCCCACATGACTGCAGTTCTGGACCAGGGGCACAGCATGGCTCTAAAACCACCTTGAAGGAGAGAAGTGGCTGCAGGGAGCATCCCAGGGCTGCCCACATGCTCAGCATGCACACATGCAGAGGCGTCAGTCACACACATGTACACACGTGCGCCCACATACACATTCACATAATTCCAGTTGAACAAATAAGGGGAGAACCTGGAGCTAGAATGCTCCTGGCAGGACACTGAGTGGTCTCAGCCACCTCCGGACACATCCATCAGTTTCTCAGCTATAGAGGCATTATCTACGTAGGCTTGCAATGGCCCTGGGCTGGGCCTGAGAGCCTGGGCTTGACCAGCTCAGGATAACTTTCAGCAAATTTGAATTCGCTTATTTTCCTGTAAAATGAAGATGACACACACTGTCTCTGGGGCCTCACAGCACACAATGAGGACCAGTGAGGGGAAGGAGACCTGGGAAGCCCCTGGGAGTCCAGGGCTCTGCAAACACAGGGGAGGCCTTGGGGCCTGTGGCAAAGGTCTCAGCAGCAAGCAAAGGGACAGGAGTTCTGGGCCAGACCTCACCCTCAGCAGCATGGATCTCAAAGAGGAGACATCTCCCACCTCACTGCAGCCTGATCAAAAGTGGGTGTGGGTTGGGTATGGTGGCACACACCTGTAATCCCAGCACTTGGGAGGTTGAGGGAGGGTGACTTCCAGTCCAAGTCCAGCCTGGGCTACAAAGTGAGGTCAAGGCTAGCCTTAATTACATAGAGAGACCCTGTTTCAAAGAGAGCTAGCAAGAGAGACAGAGAGAGTATGGACTGAGCACAAGGCACACAGGCCTTGTTAGGAACCCTGTCACAAGTACCCCCTTTTACACACACACACATACACACACACACACACACCCCTCCCAACAATAGGGCCTCACATGCTCACTTCCATTCGCCTCTGCCTACCTCCTGCATGCATACATTGCTCACTGAGTCCCACCCTCCCTTCCATCATGCCAGTGGCCCAAAGGAGCAAAGAACATTTTACAAAGTGAGGCATATCCTGAGTAAGCTTCTCAGCAGCCTTTAGCAGTGGCCCGGGCTGCCTCAGAAACAGGGGTGAATGCTAAGCAGGGTACATGCCCCACAGCTGCAGCACAGCTTAGAGATGCTCAGTCTTGGCCAGGGCAAGTGGGATAAGGTACAGGAAGATTAAGTGCAGGAGCTGGATGATGGCCTGAGAGGCCCAGGAGGCCCTTGAGCTTGGTGGGAGAGGGGCACTGCTTTTCACCTCAAATAGCACTGAGTGAGGAGAGTTGGCTAGTGCCCGGGTGCAGATGGGCCTGGACTGCAGAGAGGACGTGCTCCTCATGGGACTCTGGTGAGCCAGGGCCACCAGGCCTGCAATCTGGAGTGGGATGGGGGGATCTCAAGATGCCCAACAGTGGCTAGACTTGTGAGAGGAAGATGAGATGAGACGGCAACCCAGATGGAGCCCAGGAGCGGCAGGCCAAAAGGGCTTGACCAAAGAAAGGCCTTTCCTCCTGAGGGAATCCCAGCGAATTAAGACCATCTCAAGGTCACACAGCAAGATGGTGGCAGAGCAGGCCTGGAATGGGCCCTTGGCAAAGTTGTTATCTGAAGCTGGGTGCAAGGACAGATTACATCTCTGGCAAGCCCTAGATCCAGTCCAGGGCAGCTAAGAGCTGCCCTTTCTCAGGCTGCTTCTGACCCTCCAGCCCCAATGGCCACAAACACCAGTTGAACAGCCACGTTTGCTCAATTAGGTTCTGTAGCAAAGTCAGATCTAAAGAGTTATTCCATTAATGGCCCATGACAGAAATAGCTGAGAGTTCATTAAAAGTGTGGAGTTGCTATAGCAATTATCTGGGTCGGCTGAGGCTCAGCTGGGTGGTTGGTTCTAGGAGTTTATGAGCCTCCGGGCCATGGGGGAGGTGGGGCTGCCCAGGAAAGACCTCCTACCTCCTCATGGGCTTCTCAGGTGCTCCAAAGCACTTGCCAATCAGTGGAATCTGGTCTGTGGCCTCACTTGCTCCTCCCAGAGCTCTTGTCTGTAGGAGGTAGGTGCTGGTGTGTGTTTTACAGACAGAGGGGAGCTGAGCTCTCAGGTGAAGATTAGGGTCAAGGCTATGAACCTGGGTCTCACTATGGGTTCCTCACCCTGAGCCTTGGCACCAGGAAGGTTGGGGGTTTTGGGGCCCTGTGCTGGACCCAGGCCCTCTTCGTCCTCGGGTACCACCAGGAGGGAACTCTGGTTTAGGATTCAAGCATTCACTTATACCTTTATTCTGATGACTAACTGGGCACTGCTTTTGATATTATTTCTTTTTTGGAAAATTTTTCCTTAGGGTGTAAGCTGCCTAAAAGCCAGTCTGAGCTTTGCAGCAGCCCCAGGGCCCAGCAGAACCTCAAACCCTCTTTTGTGCCAGGAACCTATGACAGTCAGGCGAGGCTTATGAACCCCTCTCAGAATAATTTTGCTAAATGTATAAAACAAAATTCATAGGAGGACAAAAAGATTATACTGAAACAAGTTATCCAAAATTTAAAAACTGTGATTAAGAGATGTGGTTTTAAGTAATGAATTAAAAATACGATCTAGCAGTCAATGTATTCAATACAATTTTGGATTAGTGTTGAGCATATGTGATATTTTAGGATCTCTGAGTAACAACTGTGATGTGACATGAAAGTATCTGCAACTTCTACTGGTGACAGAGCCAGAGGTCCTGCTTCTTACTGTGGTTTGCTACGTACATTCATGGCAGAAGGAAATGTTAAATTTTAGGTAGACGCTAGTATAATTTTTTCCAAGTTCATAATATCCATTACATTCTATCTACTGATCCTTGCGGGTCTAGGGACCCCAGGCCAAGAATCTCTGTGCTAAAAGCCAACTCCCAGGCATGGAGCTGGTGAGTGGACCCCTGTACCTTCTTATCCCTGCATACATTTTGTTCCAGTTCCCCAGTTGGAGCCTGAAGGGCATCAGGGCAGATGCGGACAGCTGAGAGCCTGCAGCCCTCCCCCATGTGTGGCATAAGGATGTCTGTGCAAGTCTTACCTACAGCAGGGAATGGCACAAATCTCTGGACGAGAAGCCGGGTGGCTGGGGTGAACTTGTTGGCTTTCTGAACCAGGACATTAAGGCCCACCTTGGAAAGGAAAAAACAAACAAAAAAGAAGTAGTATATGTTGCTGCAGCAGCCTGTGGGAGGACGGGGGCAGGACCGGAGGAAGAGCAGAGAGGGGTCATCCTCCCTCGGCAATTTTTGTCCCACAGCCTGCACAAGAAGGTGCAACCCCCTCTGCACCACACACGCAGCCCTGCAAGGCCACATTGTACATGCCAGGTGCGGCATGAGTCTCTGGATTCAGGACTTTTGCCCGTGGTGGTCCCTCTGTCTGGACTCTGACCCCCAACTCAGGCTACACCTGTTCTTTCGGGTCCAGCTCTGAGTTCGACACCAGTGCCACTTACTAGCAATGGGACCTTAGGCAAAGCTTCAATCCCAACTGTTCCCTACTTACTTTCCAACTGTCCTTCTTTTTAAGGAATGATTCTGTGATGTGCACTCGTGCACAGCAAGAGATCCCCTGGCAAAGGGGGTCCACAGGAGTGGAAAACAGAAGATAGGGCCATTAAGCCACCCATGCCCACCAGCTAAAAGTCAGAGGCTTTTCAAAGCCCCACACACTCCCTTGGAAACATGAGGAAGTCTGTGGGGGAAGGGAGAGAAGGAGCCATTCCAGAAGCCATTAAGGAGATTTGGAGCTTTCTGGAACCTTCCCCATGGTAGCCTCCCAGGGGTAGGCAGAGCTGAGGTATGGCAGGAGGGCAGGGAGGAACAGAGGCCACTGCTTAGAGAAAAGCCTTGACCCTGGATCCCTCTCTCTTCCTCCTCCTCCTCCCCCTGGCAGCCTCACTGGCCTGGTGGTCAGAGTGAGAGCAGAACACTTAGAGAAGGCCCTGGCTTCTTTCAGGCTATAGGTGATGTCCCATGGGTTCTAGGCTCATGCTTGGCCACACGAGGAATTCTTGTGCAAATCTGTACCTTGTTTGTTTTCCCCCTCTGCCCAAATGGAGCCCCTGTTTGGTTAATTTCTATTTTGTAGCTTATTTGGAGGCTGTTAAAACAGACCCTAGGGGACCCTCAGCAGTGATTGTTCCATATCTCATTATCTTTCCCAAACCTGATTATTAGCTCTGATTTTTCTGATCGCTAGCTGCTGTTCATGATGAGTTGTGTGCCATTAATGCCAGCTGGTTCCCTTAAACAGGACCCACCATGCCAGGGAAAACGAGCTGGCATTCTGAGCCCCCAGCCACTTTGCTTTTTAATTTTAATGGGCTTTACCAAATGTTCCAGGCCAAGAGGCCCTGAGGAATCAGAACAGACGGGCACCCAGTCCCTGGTCTGCAGCCCACCCTGGGCTCCTTCCCAGGTTGTGGTTGTCCAAGGTGCTGGGGTAGTAGGACCTGGGTTGGGACCTCGGGCAGGAGAGTAATAGTCACTTGCCTCCTCTGTGTTTGCACCATCCCTACCCTTAGGCCCATTGCTGGCCGGTGAATGGGGTAACTGCTCTGCCTCTCGGTGGACTCCTAACTCCGGTCTCCTCCCATGTTGCTGACCCCGGGCCCCTGCCCTGGGCTTGGGCATCTTGGCCTGTTCTCAGATACATACATGTGCCTTGCTCAATCTCACCCCATTCATGCTAGTTCCGAAGCGTCACTCTTAACAATGTACTATTTACTCTCCAATTGCCCTTCTCAAGGAATGATGCTTAATGTCTGCATGCCACTTAAGACTGGCTGCTTGCTCAGCAAGAGCAGTTTCCCATAATATGAGAAAGGAGCTGACCAGCTCCAAGAGTGGCAGGTGGGGATGGGAGTCATGACACAAAACCTTCAGTGTCGTGAGCTACCCAGCCAGCGCAGCATCCTCGAATATCAACATCTTTCTAGGTCAAGAGAGGCTGCTCTTAACATCTTTCTAGGTAAAGAGCAGCCTCGTTCCTCCAAGGAGGTACTGCATGGGGCCAAAGTGACGGCCACATTCCTGTCTCACCCAGCTGCATCGTCTGCTGTAGCCACACAGGCCACTGCCTGGGGGAGCCTCTGTTCCTGAGGGCGTCAGCATGCCACCCAACTGGAGGGTGTCAAGCTCCGCCTCATCCATCCCTGTCCACCTCACCCACTACCAGCTCAGCTCCTCCTGCTAGACACCTTGGGGTTTTGCTGGACCAGAGCCTCTCTGGGCCCACATCTACTCTACGGCTCCCTGTTCTAGCTCCTGGACATCTTGAATGCATCTCTACATTCTCTGTTCCTGCTTAGCACTCACCACCTCGTTCCACATGATTGCCCACCAGTCTCCGGCTTGCAGTCCTGTCCCTCCCATTTATTCCACTCAGCAGCTAAAGTAACCTGAACATATAGATTTTTTTTTTTTTTTCAAGAGAGTTTTGGTGGGTTGTTTTGTTTGTTTGTTTGTTTTGGGTTTTTTTTTGCCATACTGGGGATCGAACTCAGAACCTTGCGATTGCCAGGCAGGCGCTTGTGCCACTGAGCTATATCCCCAGCCTGAACATATAGATTTGCTTAACAGCCTTCAGGGGTGTCTACAGCACTTAGAAGCCACAAACCCTGCGCGACCATTCAAGCAGGGCTCCAGGCACCCGGCCATCCGCCGTTCCTTTCACAAGCCAATTCCCACCTCCACCCTCACCCCTGGCCTTCGAGCGCTGTCCCTCTGTGACTCCCTTGCTTTCAGCCTAAATGTCAGGACTCTTGGCTCAGGGCCCCCTCTGACAGGGGAGATGAGTCTGGAAGTTTTTCTTGTATGTGCCTATTACAGTATCTTAGGACATACTTGTTTATCTTCTTACAAGTTTCTGAATCAAAATAATACTATCTGAGGTAAAAACTTAGTAGCACAGAAATGCTTTTACCTGTGAACTCTCTTTACTAAAGATCTATGTCTCCCAATAGACCTTCAGTACTAGGGCACAGTACTCTTATTTCTCACTGAATTTGAGTGCAAGGTGAAATGAGTAAGGGCTTAAAAAATGCTTCTAGAGAGCCGGGTGTGGTGGCCCATGCCTGTAATCCCAGCACTCAAGAGGCTGAGGCAGGAGAATTGTTGTGAATTCCAGACCAGCCTGGGCTACAAATTTGAGCACAAGGCCAGCCTGAACTGCATAGTGAGACCCTGTCTCAAAGACAAAAAAAAAAAAAATGCTTCTAGAATAAATCAAGTGATCTCTGAGGCAGGAAGAAACAAGGGCCACAAAAGAGAATGGATAATTGCCTGTGAGGAGGGCATATGTGACAGGAGGATTGGCATGAGGTCAGAATCTAGACCCACTCTTGAGTGACCGCTAATAGTGCGGGAGTGGTCAGGGGTTTGTGTGGGAGGTGGAGGCCAAAGGCTGGGGCTCTGAAGTACCAAAAATACCCACCAGAGGGCGCGCTCTGTAGACTAAATTTGGTTATCAAGTGGATCCAGGACCCTCCCTGGAGGTCAATGGCCCTCTAGCTTGCTTTTCCGCAATGGGCTCAGGAGCAAAGTGGCCAAGCTAGTGGAGGCAGAGTTATGCACAGGCTGAAGCACCAGTCAGCTCCAGCTGAAGCTCGGTGGTTTGTTTGCTAGTAGCTCACCCTGACCCTGAACCAAGCCCCACAGACACCTGTGCAGAGGAAACCAATTACATCAGACCCCGCCATGTAAGAGGGGGCCAGCAACTTGTCCTCCCCAGAATAGATGCAGAGCCACGCTTCTTGCCAGACTCGCCACTGCCAGCATCACCATCTGCAGGCTTCTGGAACACTTCGGATTCTGCCATGGGGTCCATGTGACGGCCCCTCCAACCCAGCAGCCTCTCGTAGCGAAAGCAGTGAGACAAGTCTGGTCCAGAATTCACAGGTGCTGAATCCCCTTCCCCCAGGCCCTGAGAAGAACAGAAGGGCCTGGGGTCCATTCTGCCACAGAGCCAGCCAGGGCCTGTCTTTGCAGGAGGCAGGGCATGCTCTGGAGCAGGGACAGGGATACACCGCTGACTTGACTTTGGCCAGAAAACAGAGGCCTGGGGTCTGAAGGGCTGGTCAGAGAGGGTCTGACAGGCCTCTTACAAACTTTTCTCCACTGCTTCAGGGTACCTGGGGAGAACCTGCCCATCAAGGGCATGGTATCAGTTCCTCCAGCACGGAAGATGAAACACTGCTTGACTTTTCTGGCCTCCTCATGCCACAGGGACAGCAGCGAGAAAAGGGGTTTTTGTGTCACGAAGAGCTTGTGAGTAAGCCTGGGAAGGTTCTGTCACTGACTTCACTCCGTGCCTCAGTTTCCTCATCTGAAAAATGGGGGCAAATACCTAAAGAGTGCCTGGCATGGTGTAGGCATTTCTTAAGTGTTAACCATTGGTGCTATTACTATGGTTATTTGTCAGTCTGACCATGGAGGGGACATGGTGAGTTGTCATGGAATCACCAGTCAACAGTGAGAACAGGAAGGTACAGGTCTGGTAGTAAAGGCTAACAGATATCTACTGCACTCTATGTAGAAAGAACCCACTCAGGGCCAGAACCTCAGGAAATGGATGTCAGTACTGCCCAGCAAGGGAGACTTCAGCCAGCTGAGACCTAGCTGAAGGAGAAGCGTTCAAGGAATGAGGCATCCCCGTCATCTGGCTCCACCAACGGGCACCTGACCGCTCATGTAGGACTCCGGCCCCGAGTCTTCCTCCCCTGCTTGGGTCCGCCCTTCACAGGACGCTGTGTCCATGAGGGGTGTGTGCGGTACCTGAAAAATCCCTCCTGCCCACAATGACTTCTCCAGCCAGTTCTGCCTAGGCTCCTCCACGCCCAGCCCCTGAACCAGGTGAGGCTCCTGGTGTGACCCGTGACCTCCCCGGCAAGGCATTTACAGCACGTCCTACTGGCCCTCGCCACTTCTCTGCTTTGTCCCCATCACCCCTTCGCCCTTGCTCCCCAACGGCAGACACTCACTTTTCAACAGCGCCTGGAACCAGCCTCTCTCCTCCTGCGGGCCACTGCACGCCCACTGCGCCTTCGCACTCTGCCTCTAGCCCTACTGTCCCTGCCTCTCTCTCCGTCTGTCCTACAAGCCAACCCACTGACTGTGACAGACGCGTCCTTCTGGTCCCACCCTGCCCTAGAGTCACCCTCACCAGAAAAATTCTGACCACACCACACAGCGCTCTCGGTTTTCCCGTCGGCCCGCTGATGGTCACATGAGCTGTGGCCCCGGCCCCTGCGGGGATCTCACCCCTCTCTTGCCCTGGTGGAGCCAGGGAGAGCTGAGCACAAAAGCATTCAGCACAAACTCCAGGACAAAAACACAATGAGGACGGAGAGAGGCTTCCTTTGTTAAAAGACAGCAAACTGTTAGATTTCAAAAATAACTGAAGACGGAATTTCTTTTTTATTCTCAGGCAAGAAATCAGACATTGCCAAATCTATTTAGGAGGTTCACTGAAAGGCTCCTAACCCTGGTGGTCTTGGAGCCAGCATGAGACTTCACTTGGGGCCCGCAGACCGGGGATGCCTGACTGGGGAGGGGGTGCTGGCCAAAGCCAGGAGCTCTTCCGGGAGGGAGCGAGGACGCTTCAGGGTCCAGATGCTGGCTTCTCAAGGCCTGGCCTCCACTCCTGTCACCTCAGTCCCTAGATCCTGCTCTCAGCCTGTCAGCCCCATCCAGGCTGCCTGCTTGTAGGGACTCGTTTTAATTAATGCCAGAGCCAGGCCAACCACTGGGGCCGTGACACTTGTTTGCAGGTCATCTCTTCCTAACAGGCTCACCCTGGGAGGGGATTTGTCACTAATTGAAGCAGAGATCAGTTAATGAGGCCGCAGGGCCCAGGGTTCCAGAGAACAAGGGAAAGGAAAATAAAATAAAGCCTGTTTCTTTGGAGGTTTTGTGATTTATATACACAAAAGAGAAGCAAGCGAGCTGCAGATTTTCCAAGTCAGAAACTCCACTCCATCTGCCGAAGTGAGCCCCTCACTGTGTGAAGACGTCAGGCAGAGAGACCCGCCGCTGCCACCGCTAAGGCTCGAGGATGGGAGAGGAGAGGGGCCTCCCGAGGCCAGCAATCAATCAGCAGCCTAATTAATAGTATTTATGGAGCAGTGTTCTGTGCTCCCCTCTGAGGAGACCTGCAGCCTGTCCCTGGTTAACTTGTAATCCAGCTGGGGACGAGTCTCAGGCTGTGGAACAATAAAAGACAGGGACATGGGGCACAGCTGAGAGTGTGGGAAGCACAGAGGTTTCTTGCATTTGAGCTGGGGAAGTGCAGTATGGGCTGGGGTGGCCAGCAAAGCCTCCTCCAGGGCACTCTGGCCAAACATGGAGGAGGGAGGGAGGAGGAGGGCATCTCCACAGCGGCACAGCCCAGAGCGAGGCCTCCCGGCCCTGCTGGAGAGACCTCCGCTCTGCGAGCCCTGGACAGCCCAAGTTCACGGTAATTCTGATGGGCCCAGTCCAGAAGCCCCACCCACCCACCTGGGCCAGCTGTGACCCTGCAAAGTGATTGTATGGCATGACTGCGGTTCCTTGGGTGATGGGGACTATGGACACAGAGTCCAGGGCTCTCTACAGAAGCAGAACTCTTGTTTCCAGGGCACCAGACTTGTAGGGGAAGGAAGCCACACCAGGACAGAGATCCCCTTCCTTCAACCTCCTCAGGGTCACAGCTTCCTTCCCACTGTGACCTCCCCCTCTTCCCACTCCATCTGTACATCTCCAAGGAGGAAAGGGGGTTTTCCAGCTGGTACCCCAGGAAGACCATTGATCAGCTCCTCTCATCTTAAGGAGCCCTCCTCCCTCTCAGGAAAGGCCCTGACCTTGGCTCAGCAAGCCCCATAAAGCAGAAACCCCCAATTTGTCTGATTCCCAGCAACGTAAGTCCCATGCTGGGCTTCAGGGCCCCACGAGGGTGGGGTGACAGTCTCTCAGTGAGCCATCTACATAAGTTTGCCAACATGTGGCTTCCCACTGGCAGTAAGATGTAAGAGTTTAGGGAAGGAAAAGGATCTTGGGCATGTGATGGCTGGGATGCACACTAACAGCCATTTGGAAGTGACTTGGTCTGTGTGGGAGTGAAATAAATCAGGACATTTCAGGGCAACCCAAGCTCTTTACTTTAGAGGAACAACAAAATTGAGTGTCCTATAGTATACAATGCATTATTACGTAGTCATGAACCATTACATTTATTTAATAGCACCAGGAAGGGGGTTTTACCAAAAGATTGAAAATATATAAATTATTTTATTATTTTTGTGTTTTAATTTGCATTTTCTAGTTTTTTCTTACCAATTATATGAATGCATTATATAATGAATGAAACAACAAAGCTGTGAAAGGAGATTTTGTCTTCTAGAGTCGGCCACAGGAGCCCTTCCAGCAGGGATGTAGAGAGTGCCAGACACAGCCACAGGGGTCAGGGCTGGACTAGGTCCTAGAAGTTAGAGCCTCCCCTCTGGTTCTGGCCCAGCTCCCTAGCTATGTCTCTGGTTCTCTACCCTCTTTGGGAACAGGGACCCACCCATTTGCTCAGTCAGTCTACAAACTCCCCTACTCTCAGAGTTCTGTGGAGGCTCAGAGTGAGCCTAATGTCCTCGACTTCGGGCGCCTATAGACCTTCAAGATGGGCTGGACAATAATCACATGAGTATGGCTATGCAGGGGGAATGACTGGGAGCTCAGGCAAAGAGCAAAGGTGAGTCAGCCTATGGGCCAACAGAGTGTGGATGGCATTCCTGAGCATGAGGACCAGCAGCTCCAGGAAGATTGAGGGCAAACATGTTGACCTTGAGCCGGAGGAAGAGCAATAGCTCCACCACCCTCTAAACCCTGGAGCATGGGTTTGTGCTCTTTGGCTGTCCTTCCCCTGCCAGCAAGCATCCCTCTACCGCTCCCACAGACCCTATCTTTGCATCCTCTCCAGCCCTGGCCCTGGGACAAGGTTCCACCACAGTGCTAAGTGGGGCCAAAAGCTACGGACTGAGGGGTGGGGCAAGGAGTTACTTACGGCGATGGAGACGGCACTGATGACAGCTCCGAGGTAACCCTGGATGAACTTGGATGCTGGGGAAGGCTGGAAGACAGATGCAGAACTGCAGGCCTACTGGGCACCCAACGCTCCACACTCCGCCCTCACCAATCACCCCAGAAGTGCAGACACAAGGCAGCAATATCCAGGGAGGTGTGGAAGGACCTGCTCCCCTTCTGCCCTGATCTAGAGCAGTCACGGGCAGGCTGATGGCTGGAGGCTGGGAAAGCCAGGCCGGAATGGCTTCTCTATGGCTGGGCAGTGGCCTCCAGTGCAGGCAGGGTAGTGTGCGTCTAGCAGTGGGGGCAGTCTAGGCGGTACGGTGGTGTCAAGGCTGGTGACTGGCTGGCTCTCACAAGTCTCCTTAGCACAGGCAACTGCTGGGATCCCTTGTCAATAAGTGACAGTATTTCTATGCAAAAATAGATCCCAAGTTCCAATACAGAAAATTAAGAGGTAGGGGAGCTAAGGAACATGTCTTTTACTGTAATTGCAATCTTGGAGACATTTGGTTTAAGTAAACAGGAGCCAGCCCAGCAGAGAGGCGTGCACATGAAGCCTGTAAGACAGCCTTAGTCTGTGTGTATACAAGTGGGGCGGCATCCTGAGTCTTAGGACGAGCCTTAAGTTCCTGCTGCCCAGGCATGCATCTAACCCCATCCACCTCTCCTCCAGCATCAGAAAATGCTAAGGTCCTCCGTTTCCCAAACTGACAGCCCCCAACAGGGACCTGGATTCCTCCTCTCTGCACTTTGCCTTTGGATTGAAGCAAAGAATTGGCCAGGGAGAGAGGCGGCATTGCCAGCAAAGCAGGGACTCAGCAGCCCTTCCTGGACAACAGAAGACTGACCAGACATCTACCATGGGCTTGTTCCAGGCTGCAGAGGACCTGAGGGAAAAGGTGCCCAGCCTCTCAGACCCCTGGCCCTCATGAGCAGCCCTTAAGCTTTATGGACAGCAGTCTGGGAGCTGGGGCACTGAGGCAGCTTGGAGAACACTGGAGGGGAATGACTCCCCCGACACCCTCCTTTACAGGCTCTCTGTACCTCACGCCAGCAGCGCCTCCCCAGCAGCCGGGCCCTGCCTGGAGGCTCCAGTTGGCTCTAGCCACGTAAGGTGGCTCTGTTGTGCTGCAGGAGGAGCTGGCAGTGTAAATAAGGTCCTACAAGAGGACCTTATTTACTAACACCAGTGACAGCGACTTGTCACAGTGTAGGGAGCACTGGGCTCCCCCCGTCTGGACCCACCCCTAGGGGAGGGCAGTGACACTCACCTTAGTAGCGTTGCGGTTTGCGTAGTTGACACAGGCATTGTGACTCTGGTTCAGCCACTGGAAGGCAGCAGGGAGAGACGATATCAGGGTAGGTGTGGTTACATCCCTGGAAGGCCACACATACCCAGAAAGACACAGGGCAGTCTCCAGCTCCACCACACTGGTTAGCATGCCCGACTGACCCAGTTTGCCCAGGACTACGCCACCATTAGCCCTGGAAGTGTTGTCTCAGAAAAACCCTCATTTCCTGCCAAACTACAGCAGCCCAGCCCAGCCCATGCAGAGTTAGGGCCCTCTCTTGGCACTGTGACATCCGCTGCCCCAGCGCCTCTGCCGCATCGCCCTCAACATAGTACCTGTTGGCCAGAAGGTGGAATAATTGACAGCCCTGCCCTTTTTTCCAAACTTCCAGGTGTGTGCCTCGTCAATGCCCAGGTATAAAGACACTCAGCAACTTTATAAAGGGAAGCTTCTCTAATATTTTATCTGACAAGACAGACTTTCTTTCCATCCCCTTCCTCCACAGAGACACAAAGAGTCATTCTCAGCTGTTTTCAGGGATCTATGACTGGACTGGTCTCATGAACAGAGGAGGAGCATCTGTGATGCACTTCACTACCTCGGGATGGGAGTGGTTTGATCTTCATCTACAGATTGGGATGAACTGATTTCTAAATGAGGCTGAGAACCTCAGATTACTGGCCATCAGACATACAATCAAGAGACAGAGTGTACTGCCACCAACACACCATGCCACACACCTTGCCACACAGGCAAGGCACCCAGTCCCTTCATCACCTCCATCCAAAGGTTAGTGACATATAATGGTCAAAGGCATGCTGGGCTGCGGGAAGCCTATTCAGCTAGGCCAAGGTCTTGCTTTTTTCCTCCAGTGGTGTCTGGGCTGGAGCAGGGGCCTGAACAGAGCAAGAGACCTTGGGGCAGGAAGTTCCCAACCAACACTCGTCTGGATCCCTCCTTGAGGAGCCTTCTGCCTGTGGAAACCCTTACCTGCCAGAAGACAGTGGATGCCAGAGTCTGGTTGGGCAGGAGAAGACCCACAACCTAAGAGACCAAGAAAGGAACAAGGCTGAAGATGGCAAAAGAAATATTCCACACTTCTGCACTGAAAAAACACACAGCTGTGAACAAGAGTGAGCCGGACCTGTCCAAACCCATGCCCAAGGTGAGATAGTACAACGAAAACAATCAAGATGCAGGATTATATTATAGCCTAGTTCCATTTATGTACAGAAAAACTCATATATAGCTATATACACAAATATATATATATATATGTCTCCAAGCATGAAGAAATCTGTATTATGGCCTGACTATTTACTGTGAATTTCTCTGAGCATATCCCAGGCTACTTTCTCAAATTCTTCTTAAGAATTTCTCTATTCTTATTAGCAGGTGATAGGTATTCTTTCCCTAATTTAGAGGAGCCAATAAAAATAAACTCACAAACAAAGGAACACCTTCATGTTCACTCAGGTGACCTAAACTTTGTGCCCTAGCCATCCTAGAGGATTTTTGGGTGGATGAAAGAGTAATTATTTCAAATGCTTTAAGTGATTTATAAATAGAATTTGGGGGACTTGGTGACGTGAAAACGTATACCATGTTTAATCTACTAAATGGAAATAGGTGTCTCATAAACGGTTGTTGAGTGAATGAATGAACAGATACATGCATAAGAATGGACACACAGGTGTGGATCCATTACTCCCAAATAGCACTAGAGCTAGCCTCACTGACTGCTTTTTTGGTTTAGGTCAAGATTAGCTGTGATCTTGACCCTGGCCGTGCCTTGGACTTCAGGGGTCCATGTATATGGACTCAAGATTACCTCTTAAGTGTTAGTGCGCAAAATAACATCTACCAAGTACCCTGCATATGGGAAAAAAATGTGCACAACCATCCACATATTGACTTATTTATTATTCCTATAGATAAAATGGCTCTTTGGCAAGAATTTCTGCAAGGAACAAGTATAAACATTCAATACTATGTAGTAAATCAAATTCTAGACATCTTCAGCAGCATTAGTAAATCATGTTTTAAACATTAAAATGTTTTATAACAGCAAACACACACACATTTCTATTTATTGGCCCATATCAGTTTGAATAAAATTATATAATGTAAAGCCATTTTGTAGCGCCAACAAGGAGTTCTCTTATGAGATTTTTCTCCTAGAATAAGATTTCTGTTCAGTTTGTCTTTGCAGTGGCAGCTCAGGGAACTGGACTGAAAGTCAGGGGACTTTAAGGCTCCATTCTTGTGGTCTCTCAGGGAAGACAATTCCCTCTGGGGCTCTAGCTTTCTACCCTGTAGAAGGGCTTGACCTTGGAGGTCTCACTTCTGTTTAAAATTCTATTCTCAGGTTCGGAGTAGAAGGTGTGAAGTCAACAGAGATAGACTCGTTGTGATGGGATCCAATATACTGAGGAGTTAGTTGCCTGGGACCCAAGCACTCCTCCTACTCAGGGCCAGAACAGAGAGAAGAGGCTGCAAGCCTGGGGCAATCCCTGCCGCCCAGTGTTTAGTGTGGCACATATCAACCCGTCCCGTAAATCTAGAGCTTACACAGCACTATGTGCTATGGACTGCACTGTTTTATCATCCAGAATCCACCTCAAGTGTGCTAGGGTCACTAGGCATGTCATCCCCAGCGAACAACAGCCCCAGGGACTCCCTGCATTTTCCACATAACTATTCACCAGGACGCTGCTCATCTGCCCCGCCTCCATGGTACTTTTTAGGGAAATATTTTTTTAATTTTTATTAGTACATGTTTGCAATACATAATGACCACATTCACAGTGGCGCGCTGGTACATGTACATAACACACCTCAGAGGACTCTGCTCATTGTGTAACAGGGTCCTCTGCATGAATCCTTTTGGTAGGAACTTTTTCTGGTCTCAAGTCAGAAATTACACTTCTGAGCAACTGGTTTGCAGAGCCTGGACTATTACCTACAGCTCTCCTTGCACTGACCATCCAGAGACCCAGGCCACTCTCCACTGCCACATCTGCCGAGGGTACAAACCCACACGGGACATGTTCTGGGCCCAGAGCTCACTCCCGGCTTCATCCCATCTTCCCTTCCCTAGGTGCCTCTGTGTCTCATTTTCACCTTCACTTGCTTTATTTGTGGAATGAGTTTTAAAAAGTATTATCAAATGTTTTCCAGAAAAATCCATAGCGCTAAATTTCATTAGTATACAGGCTATATTTACACATACACACATGCATGCGCACACATGCTTTGCACACATGAGCTTTTCACCTTGTTGGACAACTCCCACCCACCTCCTGTCCCCACCTCCTGCCCTAACGTAAGCCTGGTGTCTGTGTGGCACCTCAACTGCTATAACAAACCTCATGGTTCTTAAAGAGATTGATTTTTTTGCCAAGCATTTTCCCATGTCACCACCTCACCATAATTCTGAGGGTCAGAAAAAATAGAGATTACCTTTCAAATTTTACAAACGGGGACACTAAGACTTAGAGAAATTCAGTGATCCTTTAGAGAAAACTAGAGAGTCAGGTGTCCTGATCCCTGACTTTAGGATGTTTCTTCTCCAGTTTACCCTGAGCCCCACGGAAGAGGGGCTCAGTTACCACCTCAGCTTGTTTATAGAGCACTGTCTCTGTCCCAGGTCTCATGCTGCTCCCAATGTGTAACAGCAGAGCTGGGGATCATGGTCCCTAAGCACAACCAACACAAACGCCAAACAAGGAAGTGTGAGAGAAGGTCCTTTATATACCCAGGAAAATGGCGAGATGGATTAATGAGACACGTAGTTGTGTGAAACTTTGGTCCATTAAACATCCAAATAGGGGCCCAAGAAGAGCAGGTCAGTGTGCCCACACTATCTACTAAAGGAGAAGGTAGAATTGAGCTTTGGGGTGTGTGTGTGTGTGTGTGTGTGTGTGTGCGCGCGCACACGCGCGCGTAGGAGACACGGGAGCAGTGACTGTCCTGGCCGAGGAGGTCTGGGAAGTCAGCAGAAGGCAGTCTGGAGAGGGTAAGGCTAGGAGGAAGTGAATGGGAAGTTGTGTTGCCAAACAGATCCCAGGGAGCCACTGGGGCTGGGGCTGGGGGCAGGAATGCTGCCTCCCAGGTCCTTATACCAGGGCGGGGACCAGCAGATGCAATGCCAGCCCCGTTCCCTATTAGGCAAAACGCGGCACCATCTGCACAATCCCAGGAGCAAGAGCAGATATTTTATAACTTCCTTTTTTCTTTTTAAGTCTACATTAAAAATAAATGTTCCCTTCAGCTCTCAGATGTATATCTCTGGTGCAACCTGCCCACATTCCCTCCCGCTGCCCTTTCCAGAACATGGCAGGGGAAAGGAAGAAAGAGATGGATAGAAAGGGAGCCAGTCCACCCGGCTCCAACGCCAGTGGATCGCACCTCTTCCAAGAGGGAAGCGCTGCAGGCGTGGCCGCGCAGACGGTGGAGAGCGCCCAGAACCTGCCGGTACCAAGGAAAGTGGAAGGCAAGGGAACAGGAGCCAATGCCAGGATTTCTCCCAGCCTCCACCCGATCTTGCTGCAGGACCTTGGCCAAATCGCACATCCTATCTTTGCTCCCATTTATAGTTCGTACTATGGCTGGTGTCCCCTTGGCAGCTCCAGTCCCCCGGTGGCTGGCCTCTCTGCACATCTGCCTGTATCTCTGAGGTCCCCTTCCCCTCAGGTGTCTGGCCATGGACCCTAGCAATTAACACTCAGACTCTGACTGTCCAGCGCTGGTGCCAGTGTTGACCACAGGCGAGTTACCTGTGCTCATGCCTCTGTTGCTTCATCTGTTAAATTGGGCACAATCTTGGCACATCTTGAGCAGTCAGGAGAGGAAGAAAGACATGGAAGAACCTGGCATGCAGCATGTGCTCCTGGATGTCGTTGTCGGTGTCGCTCCTCTCCCAGCCTAGCTTCTTCCCAGCCCTTGTTCACTCCCCTTTCCCTGAACCCTACAACCTGCATTACACAAACTGACCGTCACCTTTGAACAGAGTTATCTCTCTCTAAGGACAGTAGCTTCTGAAAAGAGAATCAGGGTTTATCTTCCCCAAAGCACCTGGCACAGGACAGGGCTCACAACTAAGCTGGGAGAACTCTGCTACTTCATTATTAGGAATATTTAAATACTCCTTGGCCAGGGACCAGATCTCTGCTGGGTTGCGATGATGACCATGTTGCCCATCTCCTCAGTCCTCTCATGACAGTGCCAGCTGCAAGGGGTGTTGCCTTTCTTGGGGTGAGGTGATGCTGCTTCTTCCCACTCCCTGCATCTTTTCCTGTGCCACAGCATCCTGCAAGGAATGTACTCCCTGGCTCGGGTAGCCGTCTCGCTGGCTCTGGCAGTGACATGTGGGAGAAGGGTGGTGTGTGCCCTTGCGGAGCCCAGGCCTCAGTGGCCTCAGACAGCCCTAAAACCCTCCTGCACGTCTAACACTGTCACAAGGACACATCCTTGACTGGTCTTCTGGTCCGAGGAGGCCGAAAGAGGAACCGAGGCCAACAGGAGCTGCAGACTCAGATGACTCACAGATGGGCCATGAGGAGCAGAACCTCAACTGGAGCAGGCCAACCCCATCCAACCACAGCACCCTAAGGGCGAGTGCTTACAGATGTCCCCTCCATGCTGTGGGTGCACCATGCCACAGCAGCTACCGCTAACTGGCCCAGGAGTGCCACAGAGAAAGAGTGACTCTGCTGTCCTTCTCAGACCCAAATTCTGTATTGTGATGAATGCACCTTGCACTGTCTCCACTAGCACCCTTGGTCCCTGAGCAGCCACGCTCATCGTCCCACCCACTGGAAGCCATCAGCCCGGCTCCAGGGTATGGCTTGTGTGGAAGCCTGTGCTCAGGACAGAATAAGGAAGGGGACCAGGCTTTCCCATCTGGACATGGGTTCATGAGAAAAAGTCCCATCTTCAGCCCAAGCCCCCGCCCAGAGAGTTCTAATAGCTGCAGGCAGCCAAGGTTTCCATTTGGGAGAGTGACACCACCAACATCCCAGCCTGCTTGGCCAGAAGTGAAA